CCCCAAAACCCCAAAACCCCAAAACCCCAAAACCCCATTAAATTAATTTAATTGTTTTAACCTTTGAAATGGTGTATATAGTAATCAAGAGATTGGTAATAAAACAGCAACTCTCACTCAATCTTTCGAGCTTTGCAGCCAAGTGAAGAACTGACTGATAACAGTTGTAATTGCCAGAAATAAACTACCAAAAGCCAAGGGATAAAGCTTACCAAGGCAAAAAAATCAGAGTGGGTACTCTCCAACCCAGAAAAAATTAAAAGAGATGTTGGTGGAAACTGTATCGCACAAAACAGCAAGCCTAAGGTGTCCGGGTGAGATTTGAAAAGCCAACAGAAAAGAATTATTTGCATCCATAATTGCCCCTTAATCTATAAGTTAAGCCTATTTTAGAATAGATGTATAACGATAAGAACTCCCAGACCTGGACTGACTCAGTTTATTACCTCCAGCAAGACCACTCATTGGATGTGATTATCTGTATCGCTCCTGGAAGAAAGGGAAACTCTCCGATCTATGAAAGTTTGAAGTATTACCTCCAAACAGAGTGAAATATTCCGTCACAAGTGATATTGGCTGATACAATTTCGAAAAACTCAAGAAGTCTAAGGAACATAATGAAGAACTTGATGATTCAGATATGAGCGAAGATGGGCCACTCTCCGTGGGTATTCAAGAGCCTGCCTTTGATGAACAAACCAACGATGATTATTAGCATGGATGTTTGTCATAGAGTCGAAACAAATAATAAATCTGTGCTGAATTTAGTAGCATCCAAGGACAAGTACGTCGCTTCGTTTTACAGTGCTTCAGTGTCGCAAGGAGAGGAGCAAAGAATTGCATTCTCGATACAGAAGCTATTCATGGAGGCTCTGCAGGAGTTCAACACCAAGAATGGCTTGTTTCCTCAAAAAATCATAATTTATAGAGATGCTGTATCCGAAGGTCAGTCTGAAGTAACTCTTAGAACAGAAGTACCAGAGCTAGAAAAGGCTATAAAAAACCTTAAGGATTCCGGGCAGATTGAAGAAGAGCCGAGCATCTTGTTCATCCTTGCCAACAAGAGAATTGAGCAAAGATTTTTCACTCAGGATAGACGAGGAAATTTGAAAAATCCAAGAAGAGGGCTTGTTATCGAGAGCAAAATCACAAGAACTGATAGATTTGACTTTTATATGATCTCCCATGCAGGCCCTACAGGTCTGCAGTGACCAGTTAGATATGAAGTCATTAAGAATACTTTCCAAGACTTGGATCCGAAGGATTTGTATGATCTTACTAACATTCTTTGCTATGAATTCTACAACCTCCAAGGCACAGTAAGAATCCCCTCGCCATTAATATACGCCCACACAATGTGCAACCAAATCTCCAAAATATGCAATCACCAAGTCGAAGTATCAGAGACTCCTGAAGCTTTGAAGGATAAACTTTACTATATTTAATAAAACCTCAATTATTCAGTAAATATTTTTCAATTTTAACCATCCCAAGAGGGGTTTTGGGGTTTTGGGGTTTTGGGGTTTTGGGGTTTTGGGGTTTTGGGG